GAAACTGGACTTTGAGAACAACGACGACTTCTCAGAAGGTTGGCTTTGTTTTGAAATATTCTCAAATGATAATTGTAGTTTTTTCTTTTTTTTTAACGAATATTATTTTGATAACAATAATCAAGCATTATATATTTTTTCGTTGATGAAAAATATTGTTATGGAATTTATGCTTGATTGTGTCTTATGCCCAGGAGTAAAGATGGTCATACGAAATAATCACGTGCTCTGCCCGTTCTCTCTTCTAAGTTATCACAGCCTTTCAGGTCGGGCGTGGCTTAGTGAATAGTGTGCCGGACTGTAAATCCGAGAGTCCATGATTGCAAAAATATCGTGATCCTTACTTTGGGGTCGTAGGTGCGTTATAAGTGGTGCTCAAATCCTACTATTAGCCCCCAGTGGCACAGCAGTAGGTCTGCGGACTTACAACGCTAGAAACCGGGTTTCGATATCCGTGGTGGGCAGAGCACAGATAGCCCATTGTGTAGCTTTGTGCTTAACTTCAAACAATCCTACTATTACTTGCGGAGCCCAAAATATGGCGTTTGGAGCTGTTGACTATCCCCTTTCTCTCTAGTCCATTAGTTCAAGATTATGGACGGCTAGCACGGATAGATAACTTTTGTGTTGCTTTTCGCAAATATTCGAAACAAACTCAGTGTCTTTCATAATAGTTAATGTAACTGAAGCTGAATCTTTGCACTCTTATCACAGCAGCTGTTATCTTGTTTCTTCTATAGTAGTTCTGTTCTTAAAAGTAAAATAAATTATTGGTTTTGTTAATACGCATTCAACGATTATTTAAAACACACAATACACACATTCTGATGACTGTACTCGAAGATGGGGGTGGAGGAGGGAATATAAAATGTGCTGTTACCCTACGAGAATGTGAAACGTATTTCATTATGATTGCTGCTAGATTACAAATATGTAAGTTATTTTTACTGTTGACTACTTTTAAAACAATTAAGTCAGAAAATCGCATTTTATCGTAGTTTTTATTCTAATGAAAATATTGTATTTTTCGCTTTTTATTTTGGAAAACCTTGCTTTGAAGAACGCTACAAGTTTGTTTCAACTTATAGGACTTTTTTAGGCTTAGAAATATAGCACGCGAGTCAGCTCGTATTAGAAATTCGAAACTTGGTTAAAAACGAAATTCTTGTGTTGTGTTAGGATTAACTGATGTACGAATAACATTATTCTAATAGAATATTTCCACCTACAGCACCCATTAAAACATATTGTTAAATATTATCGAAATGTTAAAGATAAAAACAAATTTGTGCGAAGGAATGCTAACCTTCAAATGAGGAACAATATTTATACAACGTTAACCATACCTTGTTGTTCTAAAAAAAGATTCCCGCCTTCTCAACTTTCCTACTAACTACTCTCGTCAACAACGAACAAAATATACATATAAAGCATTTTTAATTAAACAGTAATCGTAGATTTTTTGTTTATCAATGTCTACAGTACATACGTATGTTTAATATGGTATTTATCCAAAATGTTAATTATTATATATTTTTTTGTTTTAATATTTTGACTGCTTTATTTATACATACTGGAGTCAGTACGTTGAGACGGAGAACGAAACAAATATTAAAGGCTTAACATTTCAACTGAAGTATTTCACAATAACAATAATAAGCTGGAGTTGTTTATTTTTTAAAAACTATGAACTAAAACTATTTAGGATCCGCATACCGCTTTTTTTACATCATTTTGCTTGTACCCCTGAAGAAGACAGAACTATCTGCTGGAAGCGCTAGGGTGTTAACTTTTTTAAATGTGTTTTACCAATATTTTTGGTGTTACATGGTTTTTAGCATCATGAACCCTCTTCTTGACATTTATTCATGAACTATGTTACGTTAATAGGCATCACTGTAATTTTAATATCATTACTATCCTGTTAACGTGTATTATGTGTGTTAAGGGCACTTATAAAGTACAGGAGAACAATCAATTAATCACATAGTTAAGAAAACTAAAAAACAAAAGAAAAAAGAATCTAACTTAAACTTGTTAAATAAAAGTAGAAAGTGGACAATTTTTGAACCTCTGTAGAAAAACAACAATAACAAAAGTTATTTTGTGCCTCAAGTAAGTATGAAGAAATTTTATATCATTGAAGTTATCACAAAAAGATTAACTTACTTGTATTATTTATGTGGTAAAGATAAAATGCTAACAACTCATGTACCGTTTTATTGAAGCTCTATGATACTTTCTCTCTTTGTCATTATTGTTATTGTTTTTGAAGCTCAAAATATTTGCATGTTAGAACATATCTGTAAAGTGTATTGTGGCACGTGCTCTCAGAAACTATTTTAACGTCACATAATATCTATATTGAAGTTGCTTCAACATAAAGGTAATGTTACGGGCTCGACGATATCATCAAACACGACAGAAATATCTATTGCGTTGAAAATTTCTGTGGTTTAAGCATTGTTTAATTTTTTTACTTTTATTCTCATGACAACAAATATCTTTGTTTAGTGAAACGTTCACAGATTGCCAGAATTAAAACATTTCTGGTTGAGTCTTAACTCATTTAGGTAAAGTTTGTAGCCTAGTAGAAAAGCTACTTATAATTATGTACAAATATCATAACTCGGAAAGAAATCGCACATGTTTTCCAGATTGCACGTTTTAGTGTGATATCGTTGTACAAAAAAGTTAAACCACACAATATTCAACAAAGAGCGATCCATCCACAGTGACCCCAGAAAATTATCAGATATAATAATAATATGTGATAATTTTCTGTGGTTACTATGGATTGATCTTTGTTGAATATTGTGTGGTTTAAATTGTTTTGACGACGTTTGATAAAAGAAAAAAATATTAAAAGAATGAAGTAAGAAAAGAGTAATAACACTTTTTATAACATGGCACTGGAAGTAAAATTACTAATTTAGCGATTTAATAACTATTATTTATATAAGCGTGTGCTCCTGTCTATTGTTTTTTGCCACGACTTATAGGATTGTTTGTTTTGAATTTCGTGCAAAGCTACACGAGGGCTATCTGCGCTAGCCGTCCCTAATATAGCAGTGAAAGACTAGAGGGAAGGCAGCTACTCATCACCACCCACCGCCAACTCTTGGGCTATTTTTTACCAACGAATAGTGGGATTGACCGTCATATAATAACGCCCCCTCGGCTGAAAGGGCATGCATGTTTGGTGGAATGGGGATTCGAACCCGCGACCCGCAGATTGTGAGTCAAGCTTCCTAACCACCTGTCCATGCCGGGCCAACTTATAGGAGAAACTAACTCTAGATCGCGTGTAATTCAGTATAGGCAGTCTGTCTGTTGCAAGTACTGAGATATTTCGATTTTAGTTAACGCTGAAGAAGATATTTGAATTGTAAAGTAATTTTACATTACAAAATTAACACTAAACTAGAATTATAGGGTGGCAGTATAATGCATTGTTTTAAATAATATATTTACTATACCAGAACTACTTCGTTTGTATAGTAAGACCGTAAAAGTTAATTTGCCAAACATTCAGACCATACAGGAAAAGTAACAGTCAAGGCTGACTAAATGGCTATGTTGATTGTAGACAATGCTGCTTTGGCAAGGTGTTGATTACACACACACGCTGAAATACTTGCGCAGGGTACCCGAAAGTGTTGCGTTTCAAGAGTACATAAAACCAAATTACGAATAACAAATGTTTTTATTTCGTGCTTTTGAATTTCACATGTCATACTGTGTTGTGACCTACAGCGTGCATAATTGTTCTCGTTTCGTGATTCATGGCATGTGCAAGTTTTGCTAACGTCACGACAGTACAAATTACAACGTTAAGCGTCCTTTATGTGACGTCGTTTTAGTGTCTATTGACTGACTGACAGACAAAACAATAGTGTATAGTGGTGTGAGTGATTAAAACAGGTAACACCTCCAGGCAGCCTTAGGTCCCTTTCAAGAAAATTACTGAAGGTTATGTGTAAATGATTACAGAATATAAAAGTTTACTAGACTATTTATAATGGTAGCATTCTTTTTTATTATTATAAAATTAAGAAATTATTATTATTATTGTTCGTTTTGAAGCAGAACAGTGGTTGTAGGATTTTTCTTGTTGGCACACACATAGATTTAGATGATGGATGAAGACTATAATATTCAAAGTGTCAGTAGAGTACATTTGTTTCAAAGGATGATATGTAAATTCTGGCTTTAAATTTACTTGGAAGCATAGGAAACAAGCATAGTATGTTTTCGTTTTTTTATGATGGACTTGTTTCAACAATCTTTCATTTTTCCTACCATAGAATCTATTTTAGTAAACACACTTCCATGTTTGATTATCATATTCATTTGAATTAGGTATGTGGTAAAAGAAGAATAACATTTCTGTTTGATTTGAAACCACAATTTAAATATCTTTTAGGGAAAGTGTAAAATACATATTATGCAGATTATAAAATTGTATGTTAAATTGAGGGATTCGTAAATATAATGTAAACATCATACGAATTACAACACTAAAACAAATTATAAATTGATAAGATTGTTGTTTTTTTTTATATTTTTTTTGTTTTAAGAACACCATCATGTAATTTTTATAAGAACAATATTTTTAGTGGATTTTTTGTACTGCCTTAATCGTGTTTATGCTTGAATATGGATTGATTATGGGGGTAAGAATGAATTTCATAGTTGGATTTTGTGGCACTGTAGTGTATATATATATTTTGCTAATAGACTAATAGCAAAATGTATTTAATCATATAAGTTTAATAATACTAGATGATTTTGCCATTTGTGACAAGAGCTTTCTTTTACACTAATTTCATGGTTTATTGTTTTATATAATATCTTGTTTCTCATTAGTATTACAGTTAAATTCTTTGTAAGAGAGGTTTTTGAGAGACATGTTAATTTATTTAAAGAAAATATCAGAATATTGATTCAATTTGTTGTATGATATTTGAAAAACAATTATGTTTTATTTTTCTGACTAGAAACCATGCCAAGAGTGAAGACACTAACAGAGATGGGGGATAGCACTGTAAGTAAAAATGCTCCCTTATCCCCTGAAGGCAGCAAGCTTCTAAACAGTCCAATAACCTTAGATTTTGACCCCTTGAGTTTTGAATTCAAAGATGGCAATTCTGGTAGTCTAACCACTAATAAGCATGGTTTTGAAGGTGCTAGGACAGAAGTAGAAGCTCCAAAAAGTAAAAGGCAACGTAACTCAGCGAAGGTCCATGATAACATTGATTTAAACATAGAAAATACATCTCTTGGAACACAGAATAAATCACATTATACTTCAAAAAATAAAACAAAAAATTCTCATTATAGAAGTAGGAAAGATAGTGATTCCTCAAGTGATGAGCAGCAGAGCCCTAGCTCCGGATCTGGATCAGAATCTGATGTAGATTCTCCAGATTCACATGCAGAAGCTGATAATAATAAGTATTTTAAAGGACAGTTACATAGCAATAATTCTGAAGAAAAAAGGGCCATAGCTCAAAGAAATGGACAGACAATTCAATCTCAAAAATCAGATAATGAAGGTAATGAGTCACAAACCACAAGTGATGCAGTTACTTGTACAGAAACAGATGATTCTAAGATTACCTCACCTTTAACAACTAACTATGACCTTAGCTACAGCTTTGAAGATATTCCCCACTTTAGGAGTATTGCTAAGCACAGACCAAGATACCATGACATTGATAGTGAGGAGTACAATGTAGGAGATGTACTTGAAAAGTCTGTTAATGAAGAAAAACAGCCATCATTAGATTTACACCTACATGCAGACTCTGGGTATGTAACAAAAGATTTGACGTATGATAAACATGTTATTGAGGATACTTGTAGAAAGAACAACAAAGTCATGCTTGAGGAATCAGAAAATAAATATGATTTAGACCTAGAAGAAAAGGTTGAGTGTGCTGAGGACCTTGTAGAAAGAGATGGTTCAGAACCAAAAAATCAGGAGGTTGTGGAGCATGAGTTTTCAGTTTCTGTAGTTGCACAGAAAGAGCATGGCTCAGTGAATAAAGACAGTGATCATTTTGTAACAACTAAAGACAACCAGCATGAGAAGGAAGAAAGCTTTGTAAAAACGATTCACAATGAACATGAAGGTGAAGAGCATGTTGTAACTACCAAAGACAGTGAGCATGAAGGTGAAGGACATGTTGTAACTACCAAAGACAGTGAGCATGAGGATGAAGAGTATTCTGTATCAAACAAAAACAGTGAGCATGACAATGAAGAGCATGATGTAGCAAACAAAGACAGTGAGCATGATGATGAAGAGCATGATGTAACAAATAAAGACATTGAGCATGATGGTGAAGAGCTTGCTGTAACAAACAAAGACAGTGAGCGTGATGATGAAGAGCTTGCTGTAACAAACAAAGACAGTGAGCATGATGATGAAGAGCTTGCTGTAACAAACAAAGACAGTGAGCATGAATATGGAGAGCATGATGTATCAAACAAAGACGGTGATCATGACAATGAAGAGCATGATGTAACAAACAAAGATAGTGAGCTTGAGGATGAAGAACATGTTGTAACAACCAGTGAGAGTGAGCATGATGATGAAGAGCATGATGCTATGCATGAAAAGTCAGATACTTCTGACTCAGATGTAAGTGTGTATTAAAACTAATCTGCTTATTGTGTGTTAAGAGTTCTAACAAATGCTTGCAAAGTTGAATTATTTTCAGATACCTTGGCTTGTTCTAATATATATGGATAATTTGTCTTTTTTACTTAGATAATCTCTATTTATGTGGTGAAATAAGTAAAATGGAGTAGCTGTGTAATTTGCATCTGATTCAGTATCAGATATTGTCGCAACATGTGGGTCACCATCTGGAGGGAATTTACAAAATTGCATAAAAAAAAGTAGAACTGTATAAGTTGACTCAATGAAATTATTTGAATTCAAGGCTAAGTAGTGAATAGGAAAAAAACCTCTGAGTATTCTTTTGTTCTACCAAACGTTTTAGTCAAAAATGTTGTGATAAGCGTAGCAGTGAGTGACAAAATTTCAAACTTGCTTAAAACATTAAAACAGGTCAAATAGAGCAACCTAGAGGGAAATGTAAGATTGATCAAGCCTCTTTAGCTATTCTCATGAGGTATTAGTGATAAAAAGAAATGAAAAAGTCGTTCATTTGAGTGATTAAGTTAGCTGTTTAACACACATATTTGCATGGTTGCTGTTGATATAGTGATAAACTTATGGTTAAAGCTCTCACAACTGTTGCCATAATATTTGGAAATGCAGATCTTATTATGTTTACTACCAAAAAGCACTTTTCAGTCAAAAGCCTCAAGAAAATACTACAGATATGTAAATAGTCACAGCTAGTAATTATTTTTTGGCTGGTTCTTGGATCTATAGGTCTATCTTTCATATCCTATAACTGCTACCCCTCCCCTGCCTTTCCAGGCACTTGTTTGTTCATGGGTGCATTATAAGAATGATGGTTGAGTCCCACTACTTGGTAAGACAAGAGTAGCTCAAGAGTTGGTGATGGATGCTGTTAACTAGATGCATTCCCTCTGCCCCAATGAATCTGCAGGCTTATGATGCTAAAAATTGGGTGTGATACCCATGGTGGTCAGAAAACAGATAGATCATTGTGTGGCTGTGTTTAACAACAACCAACCAGCATTCTCTCTTGTCTGTCAGTTCAAAATTAGGGTCATCTAATGCAGTTAGCCCTTGAGTAGCTTCACATAAATATTAAGAAATGAACAATTCAGTGTTGCAGTATGCCATTTACTTGATTATCTCTTAAAAAGACAAAAGATTCATGAGAATTTGATAATTTATTTCTTATTATCATCAGTAAAGATTACACTAAATGTTTTTGAGTTGATGTGTGTTGAACTGATCCAAGGTTTTTTTACTAATAGTAGTTAGTTTTGATGTGAAAGTTTTTATTTGTTTGATGTATCTAAATTACAATAGAATCTAATTTTTTGAGAATAATATATTGATATTATGTTACATTTTTGAATAATTTTTAGAATGGTAGTTAGGTTTATCCCATTAATATGCCAAACTGTCTTTATTACATTCGGTCCTATGTAAACTTATATAATTTGCCCACTTTAGCTTCTTCTGATTTTTGATAATTCCCAACCTGTGTTTCCTGTTTGTTTGGTATTTTTAAATAATCTTTTTTTTTCATTTGTACTGTCCTCATTTTATGTCATTCATCTTTTTTTCCATAACTTGTCAAAAGTAATCTCAGCAGTATTTTGCTTCCAAATTGATACCAATTACTCTTTCTCTATTGAATGTTAAAAGTTATACCTCTTAAAGTTTTATCTTTTCTTGATATTGTTATGTTCCCTTCAGTATTCATCTTTTCAAGCTATTTCACGAGTGAATTTTTCCTCTTTCTTTTCTTTATTATGTTTTAATTTTAACAATTTAAAATTGAATCTTTCAGCTTCAACTTTGAAATGATTTAGGAAAATTGTTATTGTGGCAAATGTTCTTTAAATAGTTATGCTGTGCTCTCACAAATGGATATTTTCAAATGTTTATTTTGAATCTCCTAAAAAAAAGTTTGAATTTCATCATTAATGTAGATGTTTTGCTATAAATATTATGTACATTTTCATAGTTAGTAATTAATACAACTTACTAAGTATTAATTGTGATAGATATACACACTGCTTCATAAATTAAAAGTTCTCTGTAAAGTATAATAGAGAATTGTTAAATATTATAGTGGATGTTAGCATCTGTTTTTGTTAACATTATTCTTTTAACAAAAGAATGTAGTCCCTTAAATTTACTGCATCCTCCACATCTGAAGACAACCCATTCCAAAGGCTAACCACCCAGTTAGAAAAATAAAACTGTCTTAGCTGAAGATGATTCCTACCTTGCCAAAACTTATATTTGTGTCCCCTAGTCCTACAATTCTGTCCAAGGTAATGCATCAACACTATTTCTTCTTTTAACAGTCTTAAACATCTCAATCAGATTCTCTTTAACTCTTCTTTCTTTCAAGAGCAAACAATTTCAGAGATCTTAATCTGCCCTTGTATGACAACCTTTCCTTTCCAGGTATCATCCTAGTAGCCATCTTTTGAACCCTTTCCAACAATTAAGTGTCCTTCTTAAGGTAAGGAGCCCAAAACTGAACACATTTCTTCAAATGTGACCAAAACAGTAAATTATATAATGAACTTATAACTTATAGATAAAACATAAATTTCCATTTGCCCTGCCATTAGCAACAACAAACTGCTTGGATGGCTTGATCAATCAGAATACCAAGATCCTTTTCTTCAATAACACTGTTAAGGTTATTCCCATCATTATACTTATAATTCGTATTGTGATATCCCATACGCATTATCTTGCATTTAATATTATTAAAAACTATTTGGTATTTATTCACCAAACTCACCAAATGATCTAAATCCTTTTGTAAAGTGTCCTCCTCATCCTCACATTGCAACACCTAAGACCTTAATATTAACAAATTTAAGTAATTTATTGACCATTTCTTCATCTCCGTTATTATTGTAAATCAAAATGAGCAAAGGACCTAAGACTGAACCCTGAGGTACCCCACTTGTGACATTAATCTAGTTTGACTGATCTCCATTTGCAACAACCCTCTGCATTTTTCCATCCAGCCATTTTTCTACCCAATGAGCCAACTAATCCTCCACACCTACAGAGATAATTTTTAACAAATCTTTTTTTTATGGCATCTTGTCAAATACTTTCTGAAAATCCAGATACATCAAATCCATACCTGTACCCTTATCTTTGTAAGCAGTGTAACCTCTTAAAGAATATAAAATATCCAACAAAATTTAAACTTTATTAAATGACTTTAAACTGCAGGATCTTTTTGTTAAGGAAAACCTGGGGTGAGATCTATAGATAACAGCATTCTTACAATTATTGATGAGAACTTCTGAATGAAAGAAGAGTGTGTAATAATATGTCAATCACATTACATCTGCTATATCCAGTGGAGGCCTTTTGCCTATTACTAAGACTTTTCAGGCAGGCTAGGATACAACCAACATAAATGTTAAGACCAATTTCATTATATTAGCAAATCTATGGATAACAACTGTTATGATGTGATCTGGATTATGTTAATAAAGTGTAATTTTTCATTGATTTTATTTATGCCATGACCTATTGGAGTTAGGTTAAGAATTTTTTTAACACTATATTATTTATTTGCCTTAATGCCTTGTATTAATTATTATTTATTCAGTTAGGTTACCAAAACAACTAGTTTTTACACATTGAACTGCAGAGTTCTTTGTTAATTAGTGTACTGTAATATCGATTATTCAAGCAAAGATGAATACAATCACCTAACCATTTTGTTTTTGTACATTTTACTGTTAAATACAAGATGACTGATATTTATAGAAAATCTATGAAAACAATTCTGTATTTTTAATTTATAATACGATCTACTAATGAAAAATAGTTAAATAGTACATGTCGCACAAATATTCATTATTATGTGTGTTTTTTATTGATACTTGTAAGCTTGGATAATGTTTTAATGAATGTTATTTTGTCTAATAAAATGTTTTTGAATTATTAGGTTATATATTATTAAGAGTAGTAGGAAACTAAAACTTTTGTACATTCTACAGCAATTCACAACAGTTGTAAGATTGAAAGACTACTTAAAATAGATTATTTACACTTCCTTTTCTGAAAAATATGCTCACTGTTCACTTTTGGTAATTAAATATCAATCATTTAAGAGTGGTATGCTTTTTATCCATATGCACCTCAGTTTTGGTGCTTTTACAATAACTCCTTTGTTTTGGATGCAGTCTTTATCAACATTGTCACCAGATGGCACTAGTTGATGAAGGATCCATAAAATAAAATTTTTTGTTATATAGTAATTTATTTCTTCATCAAAAGAGTAAGTCTTTCTGTTCTAACAACAAATTAAAAACAATTAACACTGTTAATTTAAGTTTCATAATGTGATTAAAAACATGAAAATATATTTATTTGATAAACATTTTGTAAACACAGACACACATTATTTGACTGCATTTCTTATTTAGTTTGGTACATAATATTTGATATGACCCATAGCTTTAAACCTAGAGACAAAGTTATACATCTTACTTGAAGCCATAATTCAATATCTTTTGAGTAAATAACTATCTAGTCATCAATTGGTTTTTATGAATGTGTTCAGTTTTTATTTAAGAAACATTCTCTTGTTATCTTTAGTGATATAAGTAGATATGCAACTACCAAAAGATATATGTATAATGGTATCTAGGATATTACTGTGATATTAGATGTACCTTCAAATGTTAACAACCAGATAAAAGTTTACAGATATTTTATGTTAACATCATAATTACTACATTTTTATGCTTGTTTTTATTGCCCACCACGTAATTGCTCTTGTTAAGGTTATGAAGATATTTTTTTATAACTTGTTATAAGTAGATAATTAACATTGAGGTTTTGTAGGCTGAATTTAGTATGAACTTAGATTGAGTGTATATGTTATGATATGCTATTTCTTTAGTTAATGTTTTCATTAATTCCTTAGTTAAACTAGATGGTTAGTTGTTGCAAAAAATTCTAGTTAAACAATGTGTTATCATAATTAACTGGAGAGTAACTTGTAAATGTACATTTGAGGATAGTAGAATGGAAGAAGATTTGACTCACTTAGAGATTAAGATATGAACTTTTTATTGAATGATATGTTTTTATTTACCTTCGCTTGAATTCTATTTAGTTTTAAGATCTTTACCATGGCAGTTGTAATCTATGTCTTCTGGTTTTCTTGAGGTAGTTCACATAAGTATTTTCAAACTCTTCTTCCGTATACAGGCTAATTTTGATGAGCATGAGAGGACTTAAGAATGATAGGCTATATTTATCAATGAATGTAGTAAATTAGAAATACTTAGATAATGATTATATGTTACAGCTGCCTGGATAATATTACCATTTGACAGAATTGTTTAATGACCAATTGATAAATTTAGTTAGTAGTCTATCAAATATTATTATTCAAAAAATATGTTTAAGATGTGCTAATGATTGGACAGGAATGTGTAAGTCAACTAAATAAATGTTTTATATTTAACACAATGATAACCAAAATTGTCTATTTTACAATGTGCATGTGAATACAAAGGAGCAATTTCACATTGAATATGGTGTGAATGATCAAGCACAAAAGTAAGCTTACTTGGTTACAAAGGCTTGGTTAATTACCTGACTATAGATAAACTTTTGTCTGGCAATAACTGTACAGAGAAATAAAGTAGTCAACCATGCATATATTATTGGTGAAAGTTTGACTAAAACTGTTATAATGATGCTCCCAAACGTTTATTTAGGACTGAAATAACTGTTAAAGAAATTGCATCAATAAAACTATCATTCAGTGATAACTGAATAGCAAACAATTTATACTATAAAAAGCAGTTTGTTTTATGGTGATGATATTTAGATCAGAAACCATAAAATACATTCATGTGCTTTAGTTATAAGAATTTTAAATTTTGGTTATTTGTAATGTAGTGAAATATATTACTATTTAAAACATTTAGAATTACCTGTTAATATTAAGAGAAAAAAAATTGTGAAGATTGTAAAATACAAAACTCAGTTTCTTTAAAAGTTTTGGTTTGTTTTTTAAATTGTAACTTGCAAAGTAAGAATTAAATTTGTATTAATATATATATATATGATACATGCTTAAGTGTGTATGTATTTAAATGGGTTTTGTGTTAATTAATGTACTAGTGAGACCACATTCCTAATAAACCATACATTTTTTTTCAGGTTTAATAATAGATGACCAGACTTTCATTGTACAGTTGATGTCAGAATAATATTTGAAAGAAACAGTTATTTTATTGAGTGATTTAACTCAAGTTTCTAAAATAGTTGTTGTATGTAGAAAAACAAAACAAAAGAGAATAATTGTGAAGTGTAGAGAATTTCAAACCCAAGTTTATCAGTTAAAAATTAGGGATGGTTAATACCTCTAGTTTATCAGTTCAAAATTAGGGATGGTTAGTGCCTCTAGTTTATCAGTTCAAAATTAGGGATGGTTAGTGCCTCTAGTTTATTAGTTCAAAATTAAGGATGATTAGTACCTCTAGCTTATCAGTTCAAAATTAGGGATGGTTAGTACCTCTAGTTTATCAGTTCAAAATTAGGGATGATTAGTACCTCTAGTTTATCAGTTCAAAATTAGGGATGGTTAGTACCTCTAGTTTATCAGTTCAGAATTAGGGATGGTTAGTACCTCTAGTTTATCAGTTCAAAATTAGGGATGATTAGTGTCTCTAGTTTATCAGTTCAAAATTAGGGATGGCTAGTGCAGCTTTACTCAAATATCTAAAACAAAGAAATAAACAATCATTTTCCAGAAGCACTTAAACATAGCTCAATTAATGCTCTATTTTGTGTTTCTGATATACAGGTGGAGAAAAGTGGAAAGAAGAAAACAACCACTCAGAAAACAACTGCATCTTCGGTAAACGTGGTTGAGAAACCAAGATATTCAACCTCCAGTAATGAATCACGAGATGAAGAAAAAATCAAAACATTGAAAGAAAGTCATGAGGAAAAGATCACAACTACTACAAAGCTAGAACAGAAAACTACCAGGCAATACCATGAAGTGAATGGAGTGTCAGAAAGTGAAAAGGTAAAAACTGTAAACTTTGATAGTGTATAACAGAAGGTAAGTGACAGGTGTACATTATTCTTGGTTCAAGTGAATATAGTACACTTCTCTGAGTTACATATTTATTTTCATATTTTACTGTTGAACAAAACTTGATTTCTTCCAGAAATTTGGTGTTTACTGTAAGTTTAATTTATTCATAAAATAATGTTCCTAGAAGTTTAACTGTTAGTGTAAGTTATCTTTATAATGTATTTTCCCTCCCTGCAAGTGTAAATATTAGTAATAGTAACTAAGCATTCTTAATTTTGCTTAGAAATAAATGATAGAAATTAAACTGCAAGTTTTACAAACATCTGTGTAAGGCTAATGAAATTTACATAATTATTTTTAATACCGTATACTTACGAGTGATTTTTATCAGTTTGTGAATACCATCTTTATATCACAGTTTACTAAAGTAATTCTATTTGATATACATGATAATTTGTTTGAATATAAAAACCAATAGGGGACAAAATATTTTTTTCTTATGTTACCAATCAATACCTGATCACCTGGGATCTTCCACCTTTTAAGAATTATTGAACGAAACATGTAAAATATAAACTTAACTAGGCTTAGCAAATGTTTAAAGAATCCATTTTATCAAGACAAACTGCATTTATAGCAAATTGTTTGAAAATTTAGTTGCTATAAGAGGAGGAGAGAGAAAGAGAGGTAAAAACTACTTTAATTTAGAGATTGATGGCTTATGTTTTTTCTAATATTCAAGTCTGCATTGCTAAAGTCATTAGTCAAGACCATACTTGTCACACATAAACAGTCCCCTCCCTCTGTTAGTTTATTAAATCCCTAGATTTCTGATATTAGTCATGTTGTAAGCTTGTTCAAGGAACAAATCAAATCAAGATGTTTAACATACCTTTGTTGTTTCATGAATGGTTCTGTACCCTTTTTTTTTATTTTAGCATGCATGTCTATATCATTCCTTTTATAACAAATCCAAAACTGGATAGTTTCTAAAGCTTCTGGAGAGCTTTTGTTTCATATTTTAAAGTCATGAAAGCCATGGCCACAAGGCTGAGAAAGGTATTTTTCAATTGAGGTATTATGAGATATGGTTTGAAATGATCCCTTGCAATTTTAAACATTTTTAGGGGTTAGTGTCCATTACATAGGTGACTGTCAAGTATTAGAGAATTGGGGTCATTGAATAAGTTTGTATTTGTTTAATCATCTCAGCAGCCTTATACCCATAGCTTTAAGATGGCATGTTGATACTACAACTAAACCTTACACAATTTTTATTACAAAATATATTTAAATATATATGTGTATGTGAAACCTTGATATAGCTAATCAATTTAATAGCATGTTGGTTATGTTTGTATATCAGAAACCTGTAGATAGTGATAACTCTAGTGATTCAGAAAGTAATAAACCAGAGGTGGAGAAGGAAAATGTGATTCATCTGGTGTCTGTGGATAAATTGGTAAGTAAGTTGCTAATCAACTAAATGTTCCATAGTGAATCTACCAATAAAATTTGTATCTCTAGTATCTTTATTAGGAGGCTCATTATGACCCATCCTGAATGTGTAAACCCATAAATAGAATTGAATGTAATGATTGTCTGTACAGCTAACACATTAACCACTTCCTTCAAAGTAATTGTATCTGTGTAGTGGAAAATAAATAACACATATAGTTAGAAGAAGAGAAAAATTATTATACTAGAAACATGGATTGATTTTTCAGATATCTCTAAAGTAATTGAATTAAAAACTTGCTCGCATTTGTAGATTGAATTTTTCTGTTAGTTTATTGTGTAATAAAGGTAACTGTTTATTCACTTCTGTACAATAGGTGTGTACTGTTTCAAAATCTAACACTAATTTTTAGTAAAGTTATAGAGTTAACCCTTTTTGCCAACTTAGTAGGTTTAAAAACATATTTAGCATGAATACTTGTATTTAAGTCCTATTAAGAGTTATGTTTAATAAGAAACTTGGTTGCACACATCACAACCTAACCTAATTGAATAGTTAAAAACATTTATTCCCTAACATCTATTCATTAATACTATTATTTTAACTGCATAGTATTAGTACTAACCTTACTTCATTAATGTTTAGAAAACAGAGTACATAACGCATGCCACACATCAATCTCAACTTGAACAACAGCCACCCAAAGACAGTATCCTAGAAAGAATCAATCTGAAAAGTTTGGTGAGTGGATGTAGAAAAATCCTTGCAATTCCAAAAACAAAATTGTAAATAAATATCTAAAATATTGACATTTTTCAAGACAAAAAAAGTATATTTTTCATTCAACAAATGGTTTCATCTTAGTGGACAGAAGAGAAATAATAGAAGTTGAGCTAAGCTGATTCATGCCAATTCTAAATTTTGTTTGCTTTGTGAAGTATTACATTAGTGTCTCTGTAGACTACTGTGTTTTGAAAGTCAAACTAACCTTCAGATTGGTTTTTAGTTTTGTGTTGTTTCTATACTTAACTAATTCAGTTATTTTGATTAATACCATAGCTTTCTTTTTAATTTTTTGATTGGTGTAGCACTCCATTTGATGCATCTGATTTGAAAAATGAAGAATATATGTTGAAGTTCATCTTACCAGTAAATAATTACTAGCTTAAACTTAGTAGTTCTTCCAAAAAATGAACAATGTCATGTGCATTATGAATGTTGGAATTTTGTTCTTCTAACTGTCTAACATTAACTATAGAAAACTGAATGGCTCAAATATATCTTAACTAATGATTGTGTAGAAAACAGAGTACATAACGCATGCAGCACACAAGTCACAACAAGAACAGGCACCAAAAGATAGCATCTTAAAGGCCATTGACCTGAAGAGTATGGTGAGTCTGTTGAAATTTTTAAAAGTTGTTATAAAAAGTTTTAAATAAACAATGGGAATTTCCAAATTACTCAATTGTGTGGGTGGAATTGTAACAACTAATACTGGTTACTGTATGAGAAGTGGATGGTTTGATGTATTTCTCTATATCTGTTGTACATTCCTTGAAAACATATTTGCGTTAATATTAATTCACAAGTTAGTCAAATGTTACAAGATGATAAGTGAATGTCTTAAAACTTCATAAAGATACTCGTACTAATGTGTGTTTTGTAAAAATATCCTACCAAAACCTTTGTACCATTTTATTTCTTTGCATAAATATTTATATTATGGTTGTTTTTCTTATTATTTTCAAAGTAATAAGACTAACCACAGAATCACATGTATAGACTGTTTTTTATTTCATACCGGGGTATATATAAACGTTTGTGTTTAATTAACCCAATCATATTTTTGTTGTGTTTTGTTTTTGTTTGATTTTTTGTATTTTATTGTTACTATTGTGTGTGTTCATTTTGGCCTTACAAATCAGGCATCAACATACATTGAGCATGTACAACATTCGGATCAACGTCTTTTAACACCCTCTCGTGGGGTTGTACGGACAGGTGTGGACATACATTCTCTTGTAAGTCTTATCAATTTATTTCCATGCATTATTCTTTGAATTAGTTTGAATGAAAATAACATTTTTTGTACTACAACGGAAAATTGGGATAAAAACACATTTTAGCGATAATAACTAAATTTTGTTGTTATTTCCTTTGTGTCAAACTAATTCACACAATTAATTAATTAATAGTAGTAATATTAAACAAAACTAAAGGCTAGCTTGAAGGTTTAGCAATACTAATTTACTTGCATCTTTATACTTCATTTGTCCTAGCCCTATATATTTGGCATTTGCATTTATTCAGTTTTTATTTTCCATAACTATATATAGATGTTTTAAGGATACTGAGTGCCAAATCAATATAAGGAAAGAAGGAAGCATAATATAAAAACTATATATATATATCTATATATAACTCAGGAGAAATAATGCTAAAAATAACCATAACACTGATACTAGCTGAATGATGAGTCATTGCATTGTAATCATTATATGTTTAGTTTTATGACACTGCATGATTTTAGTTAGACCAGTACGTTAAATTTCTATAATATTTAATCAGTTGATTTTTCAGCGTTTGATTCATGTAAGTAGTTTTTTTTTTGTGATAATAATTTTAATTTACAGATATAGAAATATACATAGAATTTGTGTTTTATGCTTTTTCTTAACAAGATTTTAGTACATTTGATATCAGTTTTGGTGAATGAACTAGAAAGTGTTAAAATGGCATTTCTTTTATTTATTTATTTTTTAATAAAAGGTTTGGTGTACTGCATGTTGTGTGCATGGTTAGCATGAGGATGTTAATGTTGTGTCTTTGCATGCGCACGGGTTTATCCCATGTAGAGACGATTTTACCAGACTGACAAAAACAAAGATGAAAAACCAGCACCTTCTCGAGGAGTCATTCAAACAGGAGTCAACATTTCAAAGCTTGTAAGTTAATTGTTCATTTAACCCTTGAGATGAGGACAAAGACTTGTATGTCAACATCTTATTCTCAAGCCTATACAACCTGTTAAAGCCTATGTTATGAAAAATGGCACTATTTTTATGTGAGAATGACATACAGAACTTATATTTTCATGTTACAGCCAATTTTTTCTTAAAAAACTGGAAGGCTTGTATTCTATTTTATTATGAAAAGTGATCATTCCTTATTGCTGTATAATTTTCTAGTTTTTACATTAGATACTTATATTTATTTTTTAAGAACTAATTTTAACTGTTATCCAACTGTATAAATGAATACTTCTAACAACAGGATTGTCTTTGAAAAAGTTGCATGTTGGGCATGCAGTGAGCAATCTTAGAATACCTAATAGGTCCATGTGGTTTGTACAAGCAGAAATATTATTAACCTTATTTGATGGTAACTAAAAATTAACTGATATATCATTTGAAAATCACAGTTTAATAAAATCATATGATGATCATATTTAGGAAAAGCTGATTTCATGGGCAGTCTTGAAAAATAAAATTCATTTCAAATAGTTAAAAATATTCATCTAATAAGTTGATTTGTTTAGATAAATTAAATAATTCTGTATGGTTATGACTGTCAGGTTGTTTGAAAGTTGTTTTATTAGTTATTATAGTGTGGGTTCGAAGTGTGATGCTATTAATGTAGTTGCAGCCGAACCATAAATTATTTCTGCAAGATTAGCTTCTCTTGCAAAACAAACAAGAAGTTTGCATCTATACAGTGTCCGTATGTAAGATACACACATTTATTTTGCTGGCTTCACGAGGAACACAGGATAGTGTATGTCATTGCCTTGTATGTATGGGCAATCAGAGTTTGGGAAGTAGGCATTAAGTGGAAAAATTAAGTACCACACCAACTGTTTGTCTAAAGTACCTGTACAATGTGTAACATTAAGTATCACTTTCATTTAGTATCAGCTTCACGTATGTGACAAAAATTGAAATGGTTGTCAAACTCAAGTTATTTGGCCAATTATTTTCTTGGGGGTCCACGTAAGTTCCTCTATCAAATTTCATGCCTCATAACAACTTATGACATCAAGAGATAAAGACGATTGTACAGCCACACTGTATAGATACTTATATCTATCAGTATTCTATCATTACAGATGTTTGCTTGGCTTGTCTGTTTCTTTTAGCAAGTGTTATTGCCCCCATTACTATTCAGTTGTATATCACATACTAGTCTATTTTTTGGAGACTTGCATTTGTCCTAAGGGCCAACAAACATTTTCTGATAAACTACCCTTATGAATCTGTAAGTAATTTTTTACAAGTTCTACTTACTTATGTGGTTGGTCCACTCATGCTCTGTCCTAAGTTCAGTATATCATCTTCCATGGAGATGTATCAACTTCAGTTATTTCAAATTGGTAACAAAGGAATTACCATATGTTAGCTGTATTAAAGAGCCTTGTAACTATTGTGCTTTTTTGTAAACTTATCAAAAGGAATGAAAAATAATTAGTAGAGGTTTAATAAGAAATTACAATGTAGGTGCAAAGTTCAGTGCAGCATTATTTCCAGGTTTGAAAAATAAGTAACCATTTTTTGTTGTTTTTCAACCATTTTTACAATGTTTTTTGGTAGATGTCAAGCTTTACAGAAAGCCAGAAGAATCATGTAAGCATTGTTGAAAAAGAACCACTGGAGGAGGTCAAACCATCGGTCAACAGAGCTAAAGTAGCGAGAACTTTCAGTCAGGTACATTAATGTTTTGAATTTTTAGTACAGTTGGTTTTTAGTTTAGACTTAGGCAGCTGCTTCACATTAGTTTCTGTATGTGGTCAGGAATAGAAATAATGAAATAAAATTACATTCACTTGAGAGAAAGCTATCAGGAAGATTACATTCTTTCATGTAAAGTTACATTTCCTCATGAATTGTTTTTGTATGTAATCCATGCAATATGTTTGCTTTCATTGGTCATAATTAAAGGAATATGAATGGGTCATGCATTCCCTATTGAGAATGCCAACTATAAAGATTAAATTCCTCAAGCAAAGTTAAATTCCTCGGTAATGCGGGAATGTAATATTTCGATCCCTGGTGGTGATTGCTTTTCTGATTAGACCTAGCAATATAGTCATATGGACTACTAAAGAAATCACACTTGTGTTACAGATCTCATGCATTCAGTTCTCATGTTACAGATCTCATGCATTCAGTACTCTTGTTACAGATCTCATGCATTCAGTTCTCATGTTACAGATCTCATGCATTCAGTTCTCATGTTACAGATCTCATGCATTCAGTTCTCTTGCACATTTCTTATGTTATAAATATTGTGTTTGATACTTTCATAAATTCACCATGTTGTAAAAATTTAAGTGTATAGTTCTTACACAGACTTCTCATAAAAACAAATAAATTTTAATATTTTACATGAATTCACTATTTCATACACAGGCTTACCATTTCATAATAGGTCATGTCTTGATTTCTTACACAGACCCATAATTTCATGAGAGATGATGTTTTTAATTTATTACACAGATTCATCATTTCATAATACGTCATGTTTTATTTTCTTACACAGACCCATAATTTCATAATAGATCATGTTTTAATTTTTTACACTAACCAATCACTTCATAAAAAGTCATGTTTTAATTTTTTACACAAACCAACTGTTTCATTAACATTCATGTTTTATTTTTTTTTACACAGACCTCTCATTTCAAACAAAAGTCACATTTTAACTTTTTATCAAGAACTTGGATACTTTAAGCCACTTATCTTAATACATGTTAAAATCTCTATGTGTATAGAGTCTATATAATAAGGAACAAATAGAAATCTAACATAACAATACCAGCTAAGTGATGTGTAAAATTATTCAATAACTGTTATTGAATGGAATCATGGCATATATCTGTTACAATCATAACTAGTCAACAGTTATTCTGCATATGGGAAAGCTTAGCCTAATTAAAGGATTGATTAACTTTTGATTTATTAAAATTCCTCTATTTTCTAGTTCCTGATACTTATCCATATAATAGTCAGTATTCTCCAAGGGAATCTGTGGAAAAGGAAGGAAGTATCTCAAAATATTTCCTCTGAAGCCTCAAAGAAAAATAAAAAAACATCTTTTTTGTCTTTCTCTCATTCCTTATAAGTTTTCTAATTTAATCTTATCCAATTACAGCATAAAAAAATAAGACAGACATAGAATTCATTAACTCCAAGATCAGCTGTACTGAAGTCACTAGAATTATAACAAAGGCTGCGATGGTTTTATTGTCTTGAAATTTTTACATGTTCTACAGAAATTCCTGTATGCTGAATCTGAAAATGATATCCATGTTTCTCCATCAAGTACAGATTTTTCACAAAACGTCATAATACAATACATAAAAGAAAGACTACAACACATAGTTTTGAGACTAAAAGACATGGATTTCACTAAACAATCAGGATGAATGAGAATGTATATTTGTTTGTCATCAATATTCTTCCCTTTTCTTCAGTTTGTTTGTATTTTTATTAACAAACATAATAATAAAAATTGTTCGTTGTGGTAAACGAAATAATAATTTGATCCAAGTAAGAGTTTTTTCTTCCCGATTTATAAATATCCTTACATGACAGAAAAAAATTTTTGAAATCTGCATAGCTGAGTTATGGAAAATCCATTATTAAAACCAAAATAACTTTTATGAAGTTTAAATTTGCAGACTGTGTAATTTGAAACGGTCTATGATTAACACTGTAGTTATTGTACTTGTATAACGTTGATTGAGTTATCATTAATTGTGATTGAATGTTATGTTTTTTTGTGTTACAGGGCCAAAAGGATGAAAAAGAAACCCTGTGCAGGATTTGTGGTAAACATGTTTACCTTATGGATAAGATTAAAGCAGAGAAGAGTGCTTTTCACAAGTTATGCTTCCGATGCAAGGAGTGCAACAAGGCTTTGAAGTAAGTGTAAATGCAAACTTAGATTCTGAAAAAAATTTACTATTTGTTTCCGAATTAAGTAGCAGTAAAAAAAGTGTTTATCAAGTAAACGTTTTTTATATGACAAATAACTCAAAATATCAGCAAAGCATGATTTTATATAAGTTTAACATCGACAAACAACTACCACACATTGGAAAGTTGAAGTTTTATTGCTGTTTCATTAAGGAATTTTTAATTTACAGTGTAGACACCTATTCTTCCCATGAAGGTGAGATTTACTGCAAGCCTCATTTCAGAGAACTGTTTCGACCCAAAGCAAACTTTGAGGAAGATTCTGGACCAAGTAAGTTTATACCAGATGAATTAGTTGCTATACCATGCAATATTTTAGTCCAAGGTTTAATACTATAGACAACCAAAGTACCAGTAAAACAATGGTTTAAAGTTATTATTTTCTCTATAAGTATTTTGACTTTCTCACTTTACAGTTGGGTGAATATTAGAGAAACATTATCTGATATGTGTTTTATCACATCAGGACTGATATTTCAGGTTATTGGCTCTTGTTATAAAACTTTGATTCAAAATTGATCAGTTCTTTCCTGTAACTACTTTCAAACAAGTTTAAATCATTTTCAAGCCATGATTCAATGTTTTTTCCAGTTCTTGCAAACAGAGCACAATATATAAATTGTAATTGACACAGCAAGTAAAGGAACTCGTATCCTAAACCAAAATTGAAAATCTTTGTATTCGTAGCTAAATTAGTATAGGGTATTTTGGAAAAGCATTATGAAGTTCATAATTATAAGAGTAAGTCTTAATTAAAAAATACAAAATTGTTTTGTATTTTAAAATCTACAATTGAGTGTAAAATAATAACCTCGTTAAAGGACATTTGATTATCTTTATCAAAATGGATGAATAACATTATTTGAATGCGATAAAGCTATTCAGGACTTAATTTATTCACAAATAAACATGAAGCGCAATTTATCATTTGTTTCACCACTTGTCACTGACTTGTACTGGTTTTGCGAAATGCCACTCTTCATCAGTGACTTTGAATTGAATGATAGATTGGGTTTCAAATTTACTTCAGTGTCTTTAAGAACTTATCTGTTGAATAATTTAGAAGAAGAAATTTGTAGCATTAATCCTATATAATTATGGGCTCAGTGTGTTGAGTAAAAGACATCTAAAAACTTTATGCAAATAACATGTTTATTCATGATTGGTAGAAGCTGAATCGAACTAGATGTGAACTGACAAAGTTTTCACATTTCAGTGTTTTTCATACTTTGGTAGCACAAGTTCTCGCTAGTACTGTAGCAGCTTAGTAAATGAAACATTTCTATTTGTTGTGTGAACTTTGGATACAGTTTTTAAACTTGGACACTATTTAGAAAATACATTTTGTTTCCTGTCTGAAACTGGGACAGGTACAGCAGTTCTTTGTCTTCATGTTTCATGTAAACTTGGACACTATTCAGAAAATATACCTTTGAATCCTGTCTAAAACTGGGATGGGTAAATCATTTCTTTGTCTTTTTTTGTCAACATTTCAATTTGGGTATGTTGATACTCTCCACCTATCACATCTTTGTGTTTTTTTGTAAGATAATGATGTGTTGTATAACATAATGGTGCTATATATATTGTTTTGTGTAGAATAGTGTGTTGTAAGAAAAATCAATAACATATTGTATGTCCCTGGTGATTCATCCTGTTAATGCCCTAACATAATTTACTACAACAAACATGTTAGAACACCATTCTTTCTTGTCAATCGCTAGAATTTAAGATGATTCTGGGAATTATCAAAATTAAATTTTTTTTCTCATTGATTTAAATCGTAGCCTCTTGCTTTTATTATCTGGGATCATTAATAAATATTCATATTTATAAACAAATTGATGTATATATATATTATTATATCAGGTGATTCAGAAGGCCATTGCCAGGTAAATAACTCATAAATTGCGAAGTATAGAAAAATTATTATTTAGTGATATAGAATGGAGTTTTGTGGGCCAAACCTGTGACGATATCATTAAGAGCATTTAAGCTAATGACCTTTGAAAGTTTTTTGATATATATCATATCTAAAAATTTTTAATTCCGAGGTTTAAAAAATAACAAATGCAGTCTTTCAATATAAACCAAAAATTACCAAAATTTCTCCACAACAACAACAGTTATAGGCATAAACGCGGATGATATTTAACATCCTAACATTGTTATGAAATGGTGGGAACCAATCAATAGTTATGTTCAAAATGTTGCCCAGACTGAACTAGTGGCGGATAAGGCATCTTCATCATAAATATTGGTTGCTGTTCGTGGTCCACCCACATTCCATCTATGCATAAATAAGCCAATAGTATATAGCCACTGATATGCATTTCTTATTATCAAAAAGGATGACAATCATCTGGGAACCATTAGGCATACAATACTGCAGCAGTCTGGGGATTCTGGTGACACTCTCAACACAGTAGGACTTTTTTTTTAACCTGTTCTTCTACTGAATATTATACCATTGTTTAGGTCATTTGAGAGAAGCACAATGCTTTTGTGCTACCTTACGTAGTGGACTTTTATTTTAATACATTTTTATTTTTACATTTTGAACCCTTCAAAGGTGCACTGACCTGTTTATATACAATTTTGGCCTTGCATCTCAAATTTAGGTTTGTGTAACAATCTTTACTATGGTTGGTTTTCGATTTTCTTTGACACTATTCCATATGCATGTAAAGGGTACATTTATTCCTAAAGTGCTGTTGTTGAGAATGTGACATTGAATGAACTCAATAATAGTGTTACAAAATAGGCCTAGAACATCTTGTTCACTAACAGCTATATTCCTATGTCTGTTTATTTCTGATTTATTTGCCAATAGTGGATTTCTGAACCATCTGATATGTATATAGATATGTATTAGTATCACTCTTTTAAAGTGTGCAGATTAACAAATACCTCTATAAAGGTTATAAATAATGATGAAATAGTCTAGCTAGTGTGTTTCAAACTGATAGCATGTTTTGTGACGTATTCTTTTCTTTTGCAAGTGACCAGTGACATCCAGGAGGTAGAAGGTAGAGTAGATCCATAGTTTTCTCTAATCCTGGTGAATCTGTCCAAATAACCTTAATCCTTGTAGAATATATCTGTTTAAAAATACCAAAATAATATAAATTAACTATTAATAAATGATGTAAATTAATGTAATAATTACTAAAATGATCTCATAGACTAATTCTAGTATCTAAACAATCACTTTGAGCTCTTGCATGATGTGATTCACTGCATATAGTTTCACCATCTGAAAGTTTAACATTATAAACTTCTATTTGAATTACATATTTTAGGAAGTTTCATTATTTTTATTTTTCCATTTTTAAGTTTATTTAAAAAAAGATTAAAATGAAGTTTAGGGTTATTATGTGTGTTGTATTATGAAATTTTGTTTTATAAGTTTCTTAGTAAATAATTGAGTCTAAATTAAAATTTTGTAATTGAAATTTAAAACATATCTATAGTGTTTTGGAGTCATTTTTCAGTAGAAGTATTTTTGTTCTTCAAATTATATTTACCAATGACATGATAAGTTAGTCATGTAATATTTTGTATAACATTCCTACCTTGAGGTTTAGCAAGCTTTGGATAATGGTGCAATTGCTAATTAGTACGAATTATTGTAATTTCAAAGTTACTAAGTTTATTACTTTTTTATAGCAAAACCAAAGAAATTTGAGATGATAATCCGTGAAAATGTTCCAGAAGAACTACCTCCAGATGTTGTTCGATGTAAGTTTATTTACATTTGTATTGAACATTTTAACTGCACTTTGTTTTTCAGCTTATAATATTTGTTTTAGCATTATTTAAATATAGCACTAAAAAACTGGATCTGTATGTAAGAAAGCACTGCTTGCAGTTGTCAACAGAGACATGTAATTAAACATAATAAAAAAATGGACCTATATGTAAGAAAATACTGTTTTACAGTTTCAACAGAGACATGTAATTAAACATAATAATGAAAACTGGATCTATATATATAAGAAAGTGTTCTACAGTGTCACAGAGTCATAGACATATAATTAAACATAGAACTAAAAAACTGGATTTGTATGTAAGAAAGTACTGCTTGCAGTGTCAACAGAGACATGTAATTAAAAATAACTATAAAAACTAGCTCTATATGTAAGAAAGTACTGTTCTACAATGTCAGCAGAGACATGTAATTAAAGATAACTATAAAAACTAGCTCTATATGTAAGAAAGTACTGTTCTACAATGTCAACAGAGACATGTAATTAAAGATAACTATAAAAACTAGATCTATATGTAAGAAAGAAACACTTTTCCTAGAAAGTAAAGTTACACATAATATCAATTTGATCACTTGATTTAAAAACAAGAAATCTTTAACATTTGAAATTTTCTAATGAAACAGTTCTAGTATTCCAATAATTGAAGTTATATTATTATATAACATGATAAGAAAAGTTAAACCTTCTCAGGAGTTTTAAGTAGGATATTGGAATGTATATTTTTAATAAACAGCAATATGAAATACCAGAGTATCCATTGAAACAGTTGTTATAGAAACAAAAGAATTATATATCCTTTATGAACGATATCTTATTACTTGTACAGAATAATGAAAAAAATAACATTTAGTATCTGATTTTTTCTGCTTCTAAAGGATGGGCTCAAAGGTAAGTTAGTTTTGGGATAGTGGTAAATAAGACATTAGAATACTTCCTGTGAATTGTATATTTTGTGTATAGTAACTGGTTAAAAAAGTATTTTTATAAGCATTAAGACATTGTTTGATCTTGTAGAGATTAATCATGTTTTATCCCAACATTCTTTCTGATTTTAAGCCATTGCAAAAGTGCTTGCATTTAAACTTGTATAGCTTTTGCAACATACCATCTTTCTGTATGCTATACTTATACTACACAGTTAAGAGTTAGAAGGTTCATCAAAATTGACTTATGGATTCTTTTGACATCATATTAGAATACATTTTTTGGGGTTAAAAGGTCATGTTACAGATAATGTTTGACCAATCTCTGAAACAGGGTACTTTTTGTATTAGCATATAAACAGTTGATTGAGCAACAATGAAGGTCTTGCTTAATCAACAGCTTGCTTTTTGAGACATCAGATCTAGATATATCTTATACTAAGACATGTTTATTTGGAGCACATACACTGCAAATGTGAGGAACTGAGACAAATATAGCTTTCTTAATATTCATCTATATATATATATATAATCCAGTCTCTGTTCGTAACATATTCTTTGTCAGTAACGCTTGACTCTTTGTTGGTAACATTCAAATTGGCTCGGAGGTTTGTCTGAAGTGTAAGTCTCGAGTTCAAATCTCAGCAGATTGGGGTTTTTTATATAACTTTTTTTAATTATTAACTCGCCATATTTAGAGCAAGATATTATAATATTAGTTCAAGTTAGGGATTTGAATTATTTATCGACATTCAATTGCACAGATTAGGTGTCACAGTGGTTATAGCGCTCAGCTATAATGTGGAAGTCTTGCATCCTAGTCGATCCACGATTTTGTGTTAATTTTTTCATTATTATATTTACAACAATATCTTTGAATACTCGGAAAAAAAGCAATACAATTATAGATTAAGTCAAGGATAATATCATTTTACATTATAAACACCAGTGATTGTTTCTGTCAAAGACAGATTAAATATCTTTTCAACCCAATAGATGGCGATATAATACTCCTATGTTTTTTTCGCCTAGGTAAAAGATTTTTCAAAATTTAGTCACAAAACTTTATAAGCATGTTGTGCTGAAAGTTATACTTTCATGCATTTGCCCTTAACCATAAAATACATTGCATTTCCCATCACAGTTAACAAATAGTAGGGTCAGACATTTGACCATGTAGGAATATTTCTTCGAAAATCAGTTTTGTGACATGGTTCAGTCTATAAGGCTTTATCAAGAACATTTGAACATAACATAAAAATAAGTCAAAATTCTAATCAAGGTCAACTTACAAGAGATGACCAAATATACACAATTTTTGTGTGTGAAATACTAGAAAAATGATAAACATTCTTTATTATTAAGTACTGTAGTATGGATCGTGATGTAGTTTGACTTTCTTGTTTCAGTACTTACTGCAGCTCGTTACGTTACCTATATTTCGATCCCTACTTATTTGTGTTTGTGTTACAACTATTATTCCGTGCACGAATGACCCCCCCCCCCTATACTATAGTGTTGGAAAACAATATTTTACAATTAAACGTTGTTTTATAATAAAATGTTAAAGGATTACTGTAAAGAAAAAATGAAGCATGTGTATTTCGTCGATACTGACCCATTTCACAATAACGCGAAATTATATATTTCTTTTTGCGTGATGGGGTGTGTATCAGTGTGTTCTGAGCTGAAATCACTCTAGTCTTATAACAACGTACTTTAGATTCTGATGGATAGCAATAAACAAACAAATATAATAACAGTGATTTATTATAAACTCTCACACATGTGCTAACAGAAAATTGCTTCTGTACTGGTTTATGCTATGTATCGCGAATATGCCTTTTTTAGGCTTAGCTATTAAGATACGTAGGTTGTAAATCCTTGTTTTTGTTTATCTTTGGTAACCTACTTTAATTATTCATTAATGAATGGGCTTTGTACCACATGTAAAGGGTTTTATTTTATCTCTGTAAACCAGGTCAATGACCGTTCTTTATCACTTCTATCCAGTCGACATTTATTGGTTAATCTTTTTTATTTATTTAAAAAACGAAAAAATTATAGCGTAGTTAAATAAACTTAGTATTTGTTTCCCACGAAAACAAGTGTTGCAGGGACTGACTGTGTGAATGGATTCTGGTTTTCGTGTTTCCATCTGCGTGAATACAAAGATGGATTACTAATATATTCATTGTTGGGTTAACAAAGCGTCTGTGGGTCAAAGTTCGCGTGTCAAGTATTAGATGAAACAACTTTTATGTGTGTGTGTGTGTTTTCTTGACTGCATGTCAGTAGTTTGAAAGTGAATCACGTTTAACAACCAATACATGAAGATCACACAAGCTCTGCTCCTGGCACGACTTGTATTATTATTGTTAAAAGGGTAGACGACTGATTTTCACGCCGATGACGTGTCGTAAAAAAAGTTTTTCCACTTGTGCATTATATCCTGGAAAGCAGCATAGACTAACCATTCAATAGCCTTGTAATGGCCTGGTAGTTTGGGTACTCGACTCTCAATTAACTGCGGATTCTGAGATCGAACCCCATCACCCGAACATGTTCGCTCTTTCAGCCGTAGTGGTGGCGTTATTATGTGACGGTCAATACCACTGTGAGTAGGTAAAAAGTAACTGAAGAGTTGGTGGGGAGTGGTGTTGACCAGCTGTCGTCACTCTAATCTATTACTTCAAAAGTATGAACATTAGCGCATATAGCCCTCGAGTAGCTTTCTCTAAATTCAACAAATTAATTAGTCATTTAAATTTTCCTTCCAGTTTTTATCATTTTTTATTATGTGTTTTTTAAATTAAAAACTATTTGTCATGGTTAGTGGTATCGCAAACCGAATATTTTATCTGTCATATATGATAGTTGATAAAGTAAGTCTCGAGACAAATAAACATCGGTTGCTAGGTTTTGCATAAAGTGTCAATAGGAGGCTTAAGAACTAGACCATTTTAGTTGTTTTAACACAGAGCTACACAATTCGCTTACTGGGTTCTGCCCATCCTATGGAATTAGAACTTCGGATTTTAGCTTTGTAAGTTCGTAAACTTACCATTGATCTATGGGGGGGGGGGACATCTTGTTTTAAGAACGGTTTTGTCAGATGTAACAGATTTGAAATTTTCAAATGGCATGCCGTTGGGGTTGTGGTGGGCGACATTTTGACCTCTGTGTTGAAACAGTTGCAGTCTATTGAAGATGTATTGGTCTACTAAGTCTTGGTTTAAGCGTTGCTACGAAACATGAACAACTATTAGACCTTGTTTGAATATTTTAATTTACTTCTGTTTAATAGGTAGATATCTAAATAAAGTGTAGTAATGTTAGTTAGCAACACGATAAATGTAAGTTCTAATTGGCTAAATATTTTTGGACTACACAAGACCCCCCTACGTTTGCGGGGCATACGTACACCACTGAGTAGCGGTCATAACATAAAAGAAGAAAGCGAGACCCTGTGTTTAGGTACTAACTGTCTAAAAATCAAGTGTTTTAACAAATTGTACTTTGTATCTGACAGTTCAACCATTATGTGAGGCGTGGTTGTACTTTGAATCTAACACTTCAACCATTATGTGAAGCATGGTTGTACTTTGAATCTAACATTTCAACCATAATGTGAAGCGTGGTTGTACTTCGAATCTAACACTTCAACCATTATGTGAGGCGTGGGTTATGGGGAAGATCTGGATTTTGGAGCAGGTGAGCGAGACTTGAATCCTTGTGATTTCTCACACTTTAAATTGTGAATGTGTTATAAAAGTGATATTCAAACACTTAGCGTGAATGATGGGCGATAGGGTGCTTCTGATTGTCTACGGCCTGATGGTTAAGGCGCTCGAACTCGTGATCTGGGGTTTCGCGGGTTCGAATCCCCGTCATCGAACATGCTCGCCCTTTCGGCTGTTGAAATGTTATAATGTTTCAGTCAATCTCACTATGCATTGGTAAAATAGTAGCCCAAGAATTGGCGGAAGGTGGTGTTGACTAACTGCCTTCCTTCTAGTCTATCACTACTAAATTAGGGACAGTTAGT